CTCACTGAATGGGCTTACTACTGGATGACCCGAAGTCGGAGATTTCAGTGATTCAACCATGGCAGATATTTACTCAACTGCGGTTACACTAAGAATTACTATTGCTCCCGTCAAATCAAAAGGCATTCCTCTCCTATTAGTCGTGTAATTGGTGTTCCTCAGGCAGAGTTAAGCTCGGCAGAGGGTTCGAGAATAGGGTCCTGCCCTTCAGATTCGTATCCGAGGAACAGGTGAATACAAAAAAGTAATAAGAGGGTTTGGCCTCTTTTTATATAAAATTTCTTTTAGAAAAGGAATCGAATGGGTCCCAAACCTAGCAGCATTCAGAAGGTCATACTGCTCGTGGAAGTTGCTCTATGAACTTGCAAGGCACTACTGTAGAGCTCGAGGAACGCCTGCCACTTTCTCAATCAAGCATATAAACTGTGAAGATTCTCGCGTTTCTGGGTTAGCCCAGCACATGTGGGGGGGGAAACATTGCTTACCATAAATTATATCCTCAATAAAATACCACACAAAGTCAAGGGAAAAACTACTTACGAACTTTAGAAAGGTACTCCGCCATCATAGAAATATTTGAAAGAGTGGGGGTGCCTAGCAAAATTTGCAGTCCCACCTCCAAAAAAAGTCACAATCAGACCAAAAACGATGGATTTTATTTTCATCGGATATGCACACAACAGTAGCGCTTATCGGTTTTTGGTTCATAAATCAGATGTACCGGAAATTCACGTTAATACAACCATGGAATCAAGAAATACATCATTCTTTAAACACGTTTTTCCGTGTAAGGTTAAACAAAACCCAAAACGACCCTGTGAAGAAAGAGATGCAATCACCTCCGTAAACGAGGCAAGCACTTCGGGCACATCATTTGATGATGTAGAGGAAGCCGATGATGAACCTAGATGTAGCAAAAGAGCTCGTAAGAAAAAATCCTACGGTGAAGATTTTCTAATGATCCTTTTTACAGAGAATGAACCAAGAACGTTCGCAGAAGCAATGTCTACACCAGATGCACTTTTTGGAAGGAGCCATTAATTGTGAGTTTGACTCTATTATACAAAACCATACATATGAGATAACCGATCTACCACAAGGGTTTTCAAGCATTAAGGTGCAAATGGATTTTCAAAACAAAGTTGAAAACCGATGGCTCTTTAGAGAAGTATAAGGCTAGGCTTGTAGTGCAAGGATTCTGGCAAAAAAAAGCATGGATTTTTTCGACACATATTCTCCAGTAACGAGAATAACCTCGATCCAACTGCTAGTAAGCATCGCAGCATTGAGAGACCTAGAAATCCATCAAATGGATGTCAAAACTGCTTTTCTAAATAGAGATTTAGAAGAAGAAATTTATATGAAATAACCAGAAGTTTTCGTCGTCCCTGGATAAGAACATAAAGTATGTCGACTTGTAAAGTCATTGTATGGACTTAAACAATCCCCAAAACAATGACATGAAAAATTTGATAATTAATGATGTCAAATAGTTTTAGAATTAATGAATATGACAAGTGCATCTACATAAAATGTACTCCACAAGGGTACATTTTATTATGTTTGTACGTAGATGACATGCTCATTCTTGGAAGCATCAAAAGATCTAATCAATCAAACTAAACAACCGCTAAAAAGCAAGTTTGATATGAAAGATACAGAACTCGCGGATGTAATTCTAGGGATTCAAATCACTAGAAATTCTGAGGGAATCATCATGTCTCAAGCTCACTATGCTGAAAATATACTTGAGAGGTTTAAAAACTACTCAAACGGGACAGCAAAAACTCCAGTAGATTCTCAACTTTCAAAACATTCGGGTGAAGCGGTGTCACAACTGGAGTATGCAAGAGTGATCGGAAGTCTGATGTACTTAACAAATTATACTATACGCGATCTAGTGCATGCTGTAAACGTATTAAGTCGCTACACAAGCAATCCAGGACATACACATTGGAAAGCTATAACTAGAGTATTAAACTACTTACATTATACCAAAAATTATGGTCTTCACTACAGTAAAGAACCCGCAGTTTTAGAAGGATAGAGTGATGCAAACTGGATTTCCGATTCTAAAAAAATAAAATGCACGAGTGGATATTTCTTTACGCTTGGAGGTGCAGCGGTGTCATGGAAATCTTCCAAATAATCTCTGTTATCCAGATCAACCATGGAATCTGAGTTTATAGCGCTTGATAAAGCCGCAGAGTAGCTTCAAAACTTTCTGGAAGATATTCCGATGTGGGAGAAACCAGTGCCAGCATTACGTGTACACTGCGATAGTCAATCGGCTATAGCTCGGGCACTGAATAGTCTCTACAATGGTAAATCTCGTCTTATTAGAAGACGATATAAAACCATTAGACCTTTGATCTCATGTGGTGTAATCACGATTGATTATATCAAATCGGCTGACAACCTAGCGGATCCATTTACTAAAGGTTTATCACGAGATCAAGTTGTAAAATCATCAAGATCAATGGGTTTAAAGTCTATGAATTAAGAGAAAGTTTGATGGAAACCCCACGTACGTGACTGGAGATCCCAAGATCTAGGTTCAAAGGGACAACTAAATCAAGCAGAATCTGTAAAAAAGCACTGTGAAACTTGTATCTCTACCCAGTTCCCTGGATGATAAACAGTGATATAAGCATGTATGCAATGATTCCATAACTTTTTAATTGTGAAGTATGACAGGATACTTCTGATAATTAAATGGCAGATCATCTAGTGAGTGTGAAATGTGGTCATTTCTAGAAGAAAAAAGTGAGGCTATATTCTCCAAGTTCACTCACGAATAACCAAGCAAGTTCAAAGCCAAAATGAACACAATAGGGAACTTAGTTCTACGAGAAATGAAGCTGTATAACAGATGTTGTCTCGGTTTACAACAAAATCCGGGTGGTTCAAGACATCATGTTCACTTTCTGGCTAAGTAAACCCGACAGATATTAAAATGAGTAGTTCAAAGCAGCAAAATGCTACTTATTCAAACACAATGAATTTTCGTTTAAACTCTTGAAAAGTCCGTCTGTCAAGTCATAGTAGTAATCTAGTTAGTAGAGACAGACGAGTCTTCATATGTTTAGAGTCATTTCTATTCATGTGGGGGATTGTTGGATCTAAATTTTGAAAGCCATTGGGCTTTGGAAAATATTGGTAAGATTGTAAAGAAATGGGCTCAGGCCCAAGTGAATCGAGAAAAAAAATATTGGGATTTGTCCTACATCGAAAATGTGAACAAAAACACTCCACTATATAAGGAGAAGAACATTAGCCATGTTCAAAATGATTAACACTTATGGTGTGCATAGGAGAGGTCAGACCAAGCCACGCACCGCCGCCGCTATGCCAGGCCAGGCACGGACATGCTCACGTTGTTCGAATAGGCCTTCGGACCGAAAGTGATTTTTTTTGGGCCAAATTTTGATTACGGTTTTCAGGCCCATTACTTAAACGAAATTAAATATTCTCGGATCCAATAAGAATACTCTGCGGTTTAAATGCTGGAAAAAATTTTCTCAATTGAGAAAAAAAAAGATTTTTCTCAACTTCAGCCCATTTCTCCTCTTTGCATCATGTGCTACATTCTGTGGATCAAACCGCTCTCCTCTGGCTCTAAAAGAAAGCTGTGACTCTATCATAATTTACTTTTATACAGAAAAATTTCAGTCTTCTAAAAATCAGCAAATCCTCTTCTTTAAATGTAAGTTTCGTGAATTTATCATAGTATTTGAAGTTCACAAATTCTATTTTGAGTGTTGCGAAACAATCTCCTATCAGTTGTATTTTGAAATTCAAAAATTGTGTATTACTATCATTTTACAGGCGATTTATTGAATTACGAAAAAAGATCATTACACCTCCAATATTTGATATTCTCGAAAAGTATTTTTTATTCAGTTTTAATACGTTTTTCGTACCATCGTTTTATTCGATATTATCGTTTCTAGTCGGTTCTATCGATCGCATTTCTTATTCAATTTTTTTGCGGTTCATAAAAGTATTTTCTAATGTTTTACACAACATACTAAGCTCGTAGACCAAAGGTGGGGATTTAGGTTTTAAACCAGCACCAAATAAAAGTAAATAAAGAAGCGAAATAAGTGATTGTGACGTACGTCGCGTGGTTTCCTTCTTGTCTCTATGAAATCGTGAATGTGATACGAATAGAGAGATCTTAATTTGTATTTTAACCTCGACTGTGTCGGTGTATCCAAATTCCAAATTCTACTTACGAAAATAAAAAGTAGAGTTTTTCTTTAATATCTAGACCAGTTTTAAGGGTCTCCATTAATCGTCTTATAACAATCAATCTTATATTCAACTTATCAACCAAATAACAAAAAAAAATACTTGAATCAACATTACAAATGTACATGAGCGACAAAATTTGTTGGTTTTTCCATGATCATTTATCTTATACGTTAACCCAAGAAATAGAAAAAATAATATCAGAAAAACACAAACAGTACTTAAAAATAACAAACAACGTACAAAAATGGTTGTCGGTTCTTCTCAAATCCCACGAATGTGCAATAAACATTGGTAAAAGAACGTCATCATATTTTAGAGGACACTGTTATAGACACGATTCACGTGTGGACCAATGCATGCTTAACAGTTAAAATACAAAAGAAAAATGGAAGATTTCTGTTTTTTGTTTTTGTCAAAAAAATGAAAGAGTATAAAAAACTAATTGGTGCATGTGAGGATCCCTAACAGATTCCATTAAGACCCCTCATTTCCCCGTAATTACACTCGATGCCACTGTCACTGACCTAACCTTGGGTAGAAAGTTAACTACCACTAAAAAAACTCCTGTAATGTAATTCCAAAAGTATTGTTAATATAAGTCTGTGTGTGAGTAAAATTCGTTTTTCAATAATCAAAAGGCATATTTTCGGAAGGTAATCAAAATTATTGGAAATTAATTAATGATGATTCAAGAAAAAAAAAAAAAAAAAAAAAAGAACTTACATGTAATTAACTTTTGGGGTTCAAAACGTTAAGCTCTTTGTAAAATGCTCTGAAGTTGTAGTAGTAACATAGTCTTGTTGTAAATTAGCCCTCATCACAATCCTCTTCATGTTGCTCTGTAAACTCTGTTGTACTAATAGCTTCACAGCTTTTCTCTCATCACTCATCCTAATCTCACCACCTCTCTCTCTACCCATTGAAGAAGACGAAGATGTTCCATAGATCGGAGCCGAGACTTGCTTCCCTTTGTCCACAACTCTCAAGCACTCAAGTATCCTCGAGGCTCGCTTCTGCGCCAACGCGCTTCCCACGAGCGTTAGCTCAAGCAACGACGATTCGATCCTCGCTTCGATCATCGCTCTCCGATCACCTCCATGTCCCTTGTGAGCCATCAACATGAGGATGTAAATCGCTTTCTCTTGACATTTTGTTGAATCGTTCCAGCTCAGAACATCAACCAATATCGCAAACGCTTCAACCGCTGCTCCAACCGCTTTTCTTCCTTCTGGAACCGATACTACATTGGTTAAGATCGAGAGAATCCTCTCGCTCACTTCCATGTCTCCCAATGTGTTCAAGAGAAATTGAATCAGATCGGTTTCGAGTATGAAGGAAACGTTTTGGTGATGGATTGAGAGGTTGTAGAGTGCTCGAAGTGCGTCTTCTCTAGCTTGCGAGCTGTTTGTTTCCTCAAAGCTTTTCAGCGTTTTCGCGAGGAAGATGATCGCTCCCGAAGAACCGATGATCGGTTTGTTTGAATCCAACGCGCTTAACCCGAGGAAATTCGCGACGATTGCCTCGGAGATCGATTGGTTTGGTGGTTTTGATGATTCGATTAGCTTCAGCATTTTGTGAACAGCACCTTCTTTAACAATGGCTGCTTTGTTCCTGAAAAACATTTGCAGAGAATCTAAGCATGGAAGATCTGAATTCGAAAAGTGGTTGAATTAAATGCGTCATGTTATATATTCAGAAGAAACAAAACAAATAAAAAAGCATAGAAAGTGACTTTTCAGAAGAAAACAAACTAAGTTTTTTTTAAAGAAGCGAAAAAAACAAAAACTCGGCATTGTTGATCTTCAGAGGAAGATCGGAATCTGGGAATTTTCCAGAAATCAAACCTAAAAATCACAAGACCTAGTTGCAATTTGTGATGCAGAGGAACATGCAATGGAAACAAAAAAAAAAGAAGTCAAAATTAAGAGAATATGATCGGAGACTTACGCATCGTTACCGATTCCGAGATTGAGAAGAGCATAGAGCGAAGAGATCTGAGCATCTTCGATTGGTGAATCGTCGATCATACTAACAAGCGGTGGAATCGCACCGAGCATCGCTAGCGTCACTCTCGCCTCCGTGTCATCCTTCGCTAACAACCGAACCTCAGTAGCCGCCGCTATTTTCTTCTCGCCGCCGTCGTCTCCACACTCCACTACTAAATCCCTAACCACGCGTTTCAGAATCTCCACCGTCTCCTCCCTGTTCTTCGTCTCGTCACCAGTTTCCGTCGCCGCTAAGTTTAACAGATCGCTTAGCTTCTCCGATTTCGTCAATACACCCTCGGATGCTAAATCATCCCCTCCTATTTCAGATTTCGAATCACTCGTCGCGACATGCGGTTTTGTGAAATAGGTTTTATCTTCATCGTCGTCTTCTCGGAGTTCACGTCGATAACGAGAGCTACCGCCGCAGCTAATGGCGTCGAAAATCATCCAGCGGAGTGTCGATCCAGAGAAGGAGTTCCCGGAAGTGGAGGAAGAAGAAGCGGATGGAATACGGTGAAGGATGAGAGAGTCGACATTGTTCCGGTGACACTTGGCCATTATCGCCGATCAGCTCTATGGAGCTTGAGGAAGGAAGAGAGAGGGAGAGTGATACAAAAGAGTTTTCTGTTTTTATTTGGAAGCGAAAACAGAGGAAAGTAAATACTCCTCTTTTTTTTTGTTTGGGTAAAAAAAGTAAATAATCTTTAGATATTATTCGATTTGTTTTCTCTTTATTATCCTAAGATCGTGTGCTGAATTTAATTAGGTGGTTAACAAAGTACTGTAATTACTTTAATTGACATTTTTGAAGCGTAAAAGTATCATTTACTTTTATCATGAGTTTACCTTCGTCCTATTTAGTACGAATTGTGTATATGCGACTAAATAGTAAGATAGATTTATTTTAAAGTCATGCAAGTCATCTCGAGGCTTTCAAACGTCTCAATCACAGACCTTTTTCCATTTTAGGTGAACGAGGGTTACCGGCCCTAGAAAATTTAGTTTTGCGAACTACACATCCAAGAAATAAATTACGATTCATTGTTCTGATGTACTTGTGTTCATAGAAGATGGTAAAATCAAGTTTAAAGCAATATTTTCTAAAGCATAATCAAATTCAATTGTTCAACTTTAGAGTTTAGACCAGATGTATCAGATTGTTTCCCCATTAAAAGACACGACTGACATGTCAAAGTCACTAACTAATAAGTAAGCTTATACATCATTAATGAGAATATTAACATGATTAAATATCATCAGACAAAGGAATTTTTAAGAAAATTTAAAAGAATAAAGAAATATTTCAATGTCGGAAGCTATTAAAGAGAAAGATCCGATTCAATTCTAGCGACAAGAGAACGTGGTTAATTTATTATTAACCCATTTCTTCGGTCTAATTAGGTAATGATTATTTACGGCCCATCTCCTCATAACAAAATTATATCTGTAAAGACACTCTAATAACAGTACCATATTGGTACAATCTACACTAAACTCTTCATAAATGATCTTTAACACATTAGGTGTGTTTGCTTTTTGTCGGCAAAAGATAATCCTTCAAAGATCATCACCATACGTACGTGTAAGAAGACAGAACACTAAAGTTAATAATTCTACAAAACACAGAACAAAAGAGTTACGAAAACGCTAACCGATCAAGCAGCCATTTCTTCAATGGGAGCATTGTTCTCGAGCTTCTTGATGACCAATTTGTTGTTTGGTTGATCAACATCGAGAAGAATATTGTCTTCCTCTGCAAATTCTCCTTTCAAAAGCTCAACGGCGATCTCATTCTCCACCATTTGCTGAATCACTCTCTTCACAGGTCTTGCACCAAAGTTAGGGTCAAAACCAAGATGAGCAAGAAGATCCACTGCTTCTTTTGTGTACTGAAGATTAATCTTCTTCTGTCCCAACCTATTCTTCACTCGTTCCATCTATACACCAAATGGTGGAAAACACATTTATATCAAACCAAAGAAACAAAACCAAATTTGGATGTCAAGGGTTTGTTTATTGTTATTACCTGAAGCTCCACGATCTTGGAGATTTCTTTTGAATCCAACGGCTGGAAGACAATGTATTCGTCGATTCTGTTCATGAACTCTGGTCTGAAAGTTTGTCTTGCTAATTCCACAACTTGTTTCTTCATCAACTCATAAACCGCTTCTTTGCTGTTTTCATTGCTGCCGAGTGTCTCCAGTATGTGATGAGATCCTATGTTAGAGGTCATTATCACAACACAGTTTGTGAAACTCACTGTCCTCCCTTGAGAATCGGTTATTCTTCCATCGTCAAGTAGCTGTAGCAAGATGTTGAAGACATCAGGATGTGCTTTCTCGATCTCATCGAACAATACCACTGAGTAAGGCCTTCTGCGAACAACTTCAGTTAACTGTCCACCTTCTTCGTAACCGACATAGCCAGGAGGTGCACCAACGAGCCGTGAGACTGAGAATTTCTCCATGTACTCACTCATATCAATCCTCACTATTGCGTTTTCAGTGTTGAAGAGGTATCCGGCTAGAGCCTTGGCGAGCTCGGTTTTACCAACACCTGTTGGACCCATGAACATGAAACTGGCTATTGGTCGGTTAGGATCTGAAAGACCAGCCCTTGAGCGTCTGATAGCATCTGCTACTGATTTTACAGCAATGTCTTGACCAACGACTCTCTTGTGGAGCACTTGTTCAAGCAGGACCAGCTTTTCTCTCTCTGACTGCTGAAGATTCGACAGTGGTATACCGGTCCACTTGCTTACTATCTCTGTTATGTCGAGATCGGTTACCTCTTCTCGGAGTAGTGACTGTCCAGACTCTCGGAAACTCGTGAGATTTGTCTCAGCTTCTAATAATTGGCGTTGGAGGGACATAAGTGTTCCATACTTGAGCTCAGCAGCACGTTGTAGATTATATTCACGTTCAGCAGATTCAATTTCCAGGTTCACTCGATCGATCTGTAAAACATAAAAACATGTTCACTGAGCAATCACTAAAAGTACTATACAAAGAAACTGCTCGAGTATCTTGCACAACAGCACTATTTTTTTATATGTCGTTAAGCTGAAACTGCGTACATAAAAAAACATTTTACCTCTTCTTTAAATGAACGTATTCTAGTCATGAGAGACTTTTCATTCTCCCATTGGTCACTGAATTCTTTCTGTTTTTCTTTGAGCGCGGTCAAATCATTCTCAATCTTCTGTAGCCGTTCTTTAGATGCTTTATCCGTATCGTTTTTCAAAGAAAGCTTCTCCATCTCCAGTTTGATCACAGCTCTGTCTATTTCATCGAGTTCTGTTGGTTTAGAAGTGATCTCCATCTTCAGCTTTGCGGCAGCTTCGTCAACAAGATCAATAGCTGAAACAAAGAGCTCTCATCTAAGAAAAACAATGCTATTTTTTTGACCAACAGAACATGTCTTCAAGAAAAAACTTGCAAAAGAATCGTAAAAAGTTGCAACAACTTTATACCTTTGTCTGGCAGGAAGCGTTCAGTGATGTAACGGTCTGACAGAACCGCTGCTGAAACAAGGGAACCATCTGATATCTTAACACCATGGTGTAACTCGTACCGCTCTCTCAACCCACGAAGAATCGAGATGGTATCTTCAACAGATGGCTGTCCACAGAACACTTGCTGAAACCTACGTTCCAGAGCTGGATCTTTCTCTATGTATTTGCGGTATTCGGTCAGTGTAGTTGCACCAATGCATCTCAGTTCACCTCGTCCAAGCATTGGCTTCAAAAGGTTGCTCGCGTCCATTGCTCCGCCAGTAGCTCCTACACAAGAGACGATATTAACCCATTCATTAGTTTCATTCAACAAGGCTTAAGCATAAATAATCATCAATGTTTATAGTCTGTGTTTTAAAAAGAAAAAGGTACCTGCACCAACAACAGTGTGGATTTCATCAATGAACAAGATTGTCTGTCCATTGGAAGCAGTTACTTCCTTTAGTACAGCTTTCAACCTTTCCTCAAAATCTCCTCGAAATTTGGCACCAGCAAGCAGTGAACCCATGTCGAGAGATATCAACTACATTAAAAATCAACCAAGCCAAGCATGTTAAAATCTTCCTCTGGCCCTCTGAGGAGAAAAACGTAATGCAAAAAAGAAAGCTAGAGCAACGTTAGTTTCATGGAAATAACCTTCCGATTCAAGAGAGGTTCAGGGACATCCCCTCGTACAATCCGCTGAGCCAACCTGAGGAAGTTAAAATCTCTCAGAAATTTTGTCTGCATGAGAGTAAAATCATAACTTTCAGAGATACAATTGCAAGCCCTACCCTTCTGCAATTGCAGTTTTGCCTACACCAGGTTCACCGATGATAACAGGATTGTTTTTTGTCCTCCTGCATAATATCTGAATACAGCGCCGTATTTCATCATCCCGTCCAATGACGGGATCAAGCTTCCCTCGTCTGGCCATCTCAGTTAAATCATTTCCATACTTTTCAAGTGCATCATATCTTCCTTCAGGATCTACATGTGTAGTAGCATCACGTGATGAGAATATACACAGATCACGTAAATCTTCTATACTAGCTGTCGTCATCTTGACCACCTAACACACGTCCTACGTTACATCTACTTACAAGTGTTCACCAATACAACACGGAACAGAAGAAAACTTACTTTGATCAGTAACTCGCTGACTACCACGAACAGATTTAATAACTTCCTTCAGAGCTTCCTCACTAAGTTTCAGGGTCTTGAAAAATTGTTTTCCAAACCTCTGATCCGAATAAAACGCCAACAGAAGGTGTTCGACCGACACATAATCATCTTGAAACTCTTTCTTATACCTCTCTGCGTTTTGTAATATAGTGCTAAGAGATGGCCCTAGTATCTGTCCACTAGTATCACCTGTAACCTGACAATCACAAGAAATGAAGTCCAATCAAAGGAGCCACAAGAAATCAACTTTAAATCAAGAAACAAGGGGAAGCAGGAGAATCAACGAGGTAACACCTTCGGTTGTGTAGATATGAAGACGTCCGTAGCCTGAAGAACGGAGCTATTGTCGATTCCAGCCTTTGCAAATATTCTCCTGGCGACACCATCTTTTTGCTCGAGAAGAGCTTTCATCAAATGTTCGGATTCGACAATTTGTTGCTTCGAGAGACGAGCTGCGTCGTAGGCATTGAGAATCCCTTCCCAAGCCATCTCCGTATATGAATTTTGATTAGTCTACAGAAAGGGAAAAATTAGCACACTTTCTCTGGAAACACACATACAAGGCACAATCGAATGCATAAAAATTCAGTTTTCTCCAGAATTTAACCACACGATAAGGTAAACCATGCGAAGAGAAAACCCCATGAAAAATCTGAGTCTAAAACGATGAAATTGAACACTCACAAGGATCGAAATCGATGAAACTAAACACGAACCTGAGCTGCGGTGGCCGAGAAGCGGCGCGGAGAAGGGAATCGGAGAGAAAGAGGTAACAGTTGGCCATGAGCAGCGGGTTGGGTTATCGGAGGGAGGCCGTTTCCGGAAACTCCGATGAAGGAATTTGGCCGGAAAATGAAGGAATTGCGAGAGGAGCGCGAGC